TTTCAATCACAGCACTGAAATGGGATTTAAAGGCAGAAAAACAGATTTTGAAAGCAACGTCTGAAGCTAATTAGTGCCCTTTGTAGCCTCCATGGCGCATTCTCCATTCACCACACCCAGTCATTCTTTCTCCTTTGTCATTCTTCCTCAGTTGTGCACCTGGTAAAGGAATAAGGAACAGTGTACATTTTATTCACTCTGGAAACTTTCTTCATCCACAATTCTACAGTGAAGCTATTCAATAAAAGTTTAGTAAAGAGAAAGAGAGAAATCAAGAAAGCTACGTCCTTGGTTGCAGGGATTTTAAGTGGGTAGACAGGAAATGGCATTTGCTAACTACGTTTTTGTTTTCTGTTTTGTTTTGTTTTGTTTTCATGCAGAGGAACAAAGTGAGTGGCTAAGTGGTGAGAACAAGTGTGAGCCTCAGAAGATTAGGGAAGAGAAATGCAGTCGAAGAAAACTTTTTGCAATTTTTATACTGAAATGCCCCCACGAGATACAGAACTGGTGAAAGGTAAGGCCATTGCACACATTCAGGAAAACCTGGCATTTGAAGCAGACATGGAGAGCACACAGTGCTATGTCTCTCCTTTGGTGGCATCCTTGCACCATTCACTGCTGCTTGCTCTCCGGTTTGGGTCCTCTAGAAGCCACGAGTGGTCCCGAAGCTCAAGAGAAGGAATTATGACCAGAAGCACTGGCTCTAATAACCCTCAGACTAGGTAAGTAAGCAGATCCATAGTCACCAGGGATTTGCTATCATTGATGGGTGGCGGTGGTGAGGGAAACGCCAAGCATCAGTGGAAAGTGGATTCCTTTATACTAACAGCCTGTGGATCCCCCACCCTATTCTGGAGCTTCGACCTCAGCTTCTCCCATCTGGACATCTATGGAATGTCCTCTGTGTGGTAGTCAGGATCCAAAGGTAGGTAGGCTTCCCGAAGATGTCCCTGTCCTAATCCTGGAAGTGATGACATGCGAGAGGCTATATGGTGAGTTGGCATTTAGGTTGCTAATCAGCTGATCTACCAACAGGGAACTTATCCCAGTGGGCCTACAGTGCTCAGAAGGACCCACAAAAGCAGGAGGGAAGGCAGAGACAGTCAGAGGAGATGTGAGGAGAGAAGCATGCTCAGAGTGGTGCCTGTGAGAAGGACTTCCCCCACCATCGCTGACTTTGATGATGGAGGAAAGGGCAGGAGTCAAGCAAAAGCTGGGAAAGGCAGGGAAACCCTCTCTTTGGAATCTCCAGAAAAGAACACAGTGCTGTCCACATTTTGATTTTAGCTCAGTGAGAGTGGTGCCAGGCTTCTAACCTACAGAATTGTGAGGTAACACATTTGTGTTGTTTTCAGCTGCTACATTTGAGGTAATTTGTCACAGCATCCATGCATAATAGAAGAGCTATGAGACTGAGTCAATCCCCAAGGTGTGCTGGCTGCGTGGGTAAGCGGCCCTCTGCTTGGATCTTTCTAAATGCAGTAGGATCGAGTGACAGACTCTCCGGGATGTCACAGAGAAAAGGTCACTGTAACTTCCTGCCCCTAGAGCCCCAAATTGTTCCATTAGAGACAAATTTCCAAGTCCTAGTCTATTGCAGAGGTTAAAAACGGAGATCCTAAGGGCTGAATTCAGCAGTCAGACTCTTATGTACATAGAAGTCTTTTGGAAAATTTGAATTAATTGCAAGTATTTAAAGATTCCACTTAGGCGTCAGGATTTCCAACATTTTTTGGAAAAAATATCTGAAAATGTTGCCAGATTTGCATCCCTGGGGAGTAGTAGCTGAACTTTTATTTATTTTTTATTTTTTTAAGATTTTATTTATTAATTCATGAGACACAGAGAAAGAGACAGAGACACAGGCAGAGGGAGAAGCAGGCTCCCTGAAGTGAGCCCAATGCAGGACTCAATCCGAGGACCCCAAGATCACGACCTGAGCAGAAGGCAGACCCTCAAACGCTGAGCCACCCAGGTGTTCCAGTGGCTGACCTTTTAGACCGAGCATGCTCACTCTGGTTGTCTCCACTGCCACCACTCTACTGTCTCACACTCTTTCCATGTGACCCTATTATGTGGTCCTTCTGGCATTGAGTGTGTGACCCCCTGTACCCTGCTTGTATATGACAAACATTTCTGAACCAGCTTAATTAGGCAAAGGCATTAAGGGGAATCTAACCAGCTTAATACTTTCCTCATGTGTGATAGCACAGACTGCTTTCTTCATTTCAGAAGAAAAATTGAAAATCTCAGAGATGAAATCATTTTGGCTCATCCCTCCATTTTTTCCAAATTCTTAGTGTGAACAGTACCAAAAACTACTGGCATCGGTGCTTGTGGGGAATTTCCAAGCCTACACAGAACTCTGATTTTGATCAGCTAAACCTTTGTCCCCTTAAGGTCTTATCTAAACTGGACTTCAGCAGAGGAGAAAATTTTCAAAGGGATATAAATCAAGCTAGAGCACTTTCAAGATGGTAGTTTCAAGCAAAACGTCAAACAGTCCACTAGCATTTTCATGTATGCAGGGCCAAAGTTTGGAGAAATCCCTGTGCACTTTTATTAGATTAACAACATGTAGACTCTGACATCAGCTGCAACCTGATCTGGTATTGCAAAATGCATTTCGGAATCCTAATGCGTTAATTGTTATGTTTGGCTTTATTACCAACATCTCTTTTTACTCATATCTGAATGCCGATGGTTATGGGCCAAAATTTTTGGAAAAGTGATACCTTACAAGCTCACACTTGAAATGGCTCTGAACAGTGATGGAAGGTCACAGATTGGGAACAAGAGAAAAGAGTCGGCTCACAAAAGGGTTAGTGTCCTGAGCGGCTTGACAGGAATGCACCTTTTCCGTCACAGGCTCTGGTCTTCGGCACACAATGTAGTGAATAATCAGCTATAGATGGGCAGGGAGAGGCCCGGCTGGGCTTCTGACACGGCCTCTGTGGGTGTGATGGATGTGGAGAAATCCAACCCTTCCCAGGGGGGTCAGGTGGCACCATCAAGACAAAGAGTGCAAACAATTTGGTTCTGGAAAAGAACTTCCTTTTTTTTTTTTTTTTTTTTTTTACTATTTGTGCCAAAACGTTATCCAGCCATTCTCTATTAAATTGGAAATCTATGCAAAGAAGGAAAAATGAAACCAAAGTGAAACCCCAAACAGAAATGTTCCCTGGATAAAATATATTTAAATTGTGCAAAATTTTAAAGAGAAAGAAAGAAGAGAGAAAAATATAAATAGATAGATACTTTAGAAAGGGCATTTTCTTCCAAGGCTGAGTCAAAAACATCTGCTATCTGGATTAGAGAGAGAAATTACCACATTTCTGAAAAAAAAAAATCCCTCAAATCTCTCCTTTGGAACCTGTAGATAAAAACAAAGGAGGGGAGGATGAGCCTCCCTCTGACCCCAAGGGCTAGGCTGAGCAGACAGAGGGGGGAAGGAAAAAAAAAAAAACACCCAGAGAGCATCAGGCCTGCTGTCCCAACTGGAAACATCTCCCAGAACATTTCTCCAGCCTTTGTCTCCTGGCCTTTTCAGAACTCTGAGCAGTGATTCTAATTGGATCTGGGTTTATATGAGCTTTTGATAAAATACACACTACTCCCCTGTCCTCCCCTCTCTCCCAACCTAGGCCCCAAGAAGTTTTGAGAAATATCTATAAATTTTCTTAATTGCCAGGCGGTTTTTCCACTTCTAGGCAACTGGCTTTCCTTAGCAGTAATGTCAGAATCTGACCTATGACACTGGGGGCTCGTCTCTGATGACTACCAAATGTTAAAGGGGCCTTCCATTTTCCTTGCTTTTCTGCACCATGAGGCTGGGCATCAGATGCCTGGCCTCAGAGCAGGTTGGCTTTTTACCCCTGGACTAAGGGTGGGGGGGATGTGCCAGTTCAGAAGGGAGCCCAGGGAAGGGACCACAGTGTGCACCTGCTGGGTGCCAGGCCAGGTGCTGAGCTTGCCTTGCTTTGTGTCCACCGATGCTTGAGAAGTCCGTTTTGTCAACCTTGTTTAGACAAATAAGAAACTCAGGGAAATGAACAGCTTGATAATATTGGCCCAGCAAGTGGCAACGCTGGCACCAAGGCTACCTGCCCCTGAACTTTAGACAGCTACAAAGCCTTGGGACATGGAAGACTTCCCCTCAGTCTTAACCCCAATAAAACTCCTCCAAAGACACTTTGCCGTGTGTTCTCTTGAACCTCTTATCACTTGCATTATCCCTAGTTTCAGAGCCTTCCCACTCAGAGAATTGCTATGACAGTGAGAGCTCTGCAGAAATAATGATCAACGTGCCTCAGCTCAAAATTCATCTCCACTTTCTAACCCAGACAACATCTCGGAGGCAGGCTCTCATGCTAGAAGGCAAGGGTTACCGTATGATTTAGGTGACTTGGGTCACCCTCCCGGCCCCAGTCCGCCCACAGCCACCAAGTGGTTCACATAGCTGAAAACATGTAGCTCTTTTTAAATAGGTAAAATTTGGATGGTGCTAGGTTATTGGAAAACTATGAGAGTCAGGGTTGTTTCTGGGGCACCAGTTCAGTAGGCATGAGGACAGTCAGTGCAGTCCGAAGACGTGAGACCAAGCAACGAGAGGGAGGAAGGAATTCTCAGGCAACCACCTATTCTTTCCCTGCTTCTCCCAGCAAACTTTTGCCTGATTTCAGACCTTCTAGATCGTACTGTGCATTTTTATTCCAGATATCCTATTTTGTGTGTTTACACAGAAATACAGGGCACAACCTGGAAAGGTCATGGGCTAAGGGATTAGGATGCCTGTTTCAAATTACTGTATCACATGGAAGTACTGTGTGACCTTGAGCTAATTACCTAACCTCTCTGAGATCTTCTTTGTAAAACCAGTGGCTCTAAGACCTTGTTGAGACGATGTAAGTGATACGGTGCCTGGCGTATAGCAGGCATCTAAAAAAGTACTTTTCCTCCTCACTCTTCTCCTCCTTTGCTTTCTCAGGAATTCCCTGATCCTAAGGGGTGTCCCTCCTTTTTTGCAAGCTTCAGATATTTGAAGGATTCCTTAATTCTGCAGTGGTGTTGAAGACTGAAATCCTGCATGCCACTCATGATTTGTGTAATCCTGAAGATGTTGATTAACTTCTCTGGGTATTTATTCATTCATTCATTCATTCATTCATTCATTCATTCATTCATTCATTCTTACCAGCTACAACTTGTTAGTAATTAACTGAGATGTGGTTGCTTTCTAACCAAATAGCCATTTAGTACTTCCTTCTCTATAAATAGGAGCTACATTTTGACTTCCGATAACTAGCAGAGATTTCTCCATCTCAAGGAAGACCCATGTCCAATGGACATGACTGACTTAAGATCACAGTAAGATCCCGTTCTCATTCACCAGTGAGTGCTCTAGGGTAAGCATAAAAACACTTCTGGACAAAGAGACAGAAAAGAAGTCTGAGAGCCTCAGGAGGAGAGAGGTGTTTGTCTGTTGCTTCCCACTTGGGCTGCTGGTGGTGGACACGATGTCTGCAGAATTGGCAGCCGTCTCAAACCCATGAGGTGACAGTCACAAGTATGAAGCCAGTGTGCCGAAGATGGTGGGAGGGATGGCTCGAAGGAGCTTCAAGGTAGTGTTAGGAACATTCTGGAATTGCTGAATGAGTGCTTGGTCCTCATCTCTCTATTTTAATACTAAAAAAAGGAGGAAGGAAGAAAGTAGTTAATTCTGCTGGGGGTGCTGGGTAGCAGTGCTGAGTGGGGAGGAAGGAAGGGTATGGAAAGGTTTCAAAGAGGAGGTGGCCCTCCATGGACACTCACCTTAGTGGGAAAGACTTCTTGGAAGAAAATGTGTGGTACACAGTTCTTTAGCAAGTTTTCCAAGATGAAAGAAGTAAAGAAAAAAAAGGATGGTGGTTGGATGGTATCTACATTGGCCCCATGCTGCCCTGGGAAAACTGCAAGGTCCCATGCAATTGGGACTTTAGGGACCTGGGGAAATGATTAGAGTTGTTTGTTCTGCCCAAGTACTTTAAATCTCACGAATAAAAGATTTTCTATGAATACAAAATACGGCAATTGTCTACATTAGACCAGAGGAACATTACATTCAAAGGGAAGGGGAAAAATCTAAACATATTTATTTAGCATACGAAAGTGGGTGTTCGTGCCAAAAACAATTCAGTAGGGTAGAAACCTACTTGGGCAGTGTCTGTACTAACAGAGCAGATGTGACACAGAGATTTGATGGCCATGATTCATGCCAACAACATCAGCCCCCCTGACTTGTTCAATGGCTTGAGGCCCAGTGGTATAGTTTTTAGCATTCCACTTGTTCTATAGGATTTTGCCATATAATTTCAGCAATTTAGTACTTCGACTCGGCTAAATTCTGGCCAACACCATGAATTATTAAGAGGTAAAATAAATAAAGCTTTTGCTGGCTTTTAGAGTCAATATAAAATTTTAACATGATCCATTTTTAATTACTTGAAGAATTTAATTACCTAGTGAAGATTCTGTTTCTGGTAGATGAGGACTTGAAGTTAAGACTTTTTCATCCTTTTAAAAAGCATATACAATTTCTATGCTTATCTTACTTGAGGCCCTGATAAAATAGACCCCAAATGATTTAGAACTGATTCCTCAGAAAATAATTTAAAGCCATTGACCTCACAGCCAAATGTTTTTATGTTATCAAGTAATTTCAGCCAGTTTTAAAACTGATAATATTTCACAACTATTTTTTCATACATGCACCTCAATTAGTTTTTAGGGTTTTAATGATGCCAAATACATTTTTTTTCCCTCAGTGGCTATAAAACAAAAACAAAAACACTAACTCTTGACTAGCCATGCTGACCTCCTTTCTCTTCCAGGAATAAGCCAAGTTCTTTTATTCCTGAGGTCTGTGCACATATTGTTTCTCTCCCTTCCTTCCGTCCTTCAGTTTTTCCTTCCTTTCTTCCTCTCCCCCTGCCCCCTGTCCTTCCCTCCCCTGTCTTATCCTTCCCTTCCCTCCCCTCCTCCTTCTTTCCCTTCCTCCTTCTTTCCTTATTTCCATCTTTCTTCAGATATTCTTCTCATAAATATTTGTTCGGGTGGGTCCTTTTGATCTTCCATATCTCACTCAGGTCAAATGTTAGATGTTTCCATTTCAGCAAATGAGACCACTGCTCCTCCCGTCATGCAGACCCCGAACCCAGGAGGTTCTTGATCTATTTCCCTTGTTCTTCAGTATCCAAGGCATTAGTGTCCTACAGGTTCTTCCTCTCAGTTTTACCTGGACCATGTCATATCATGTCCACTGCAAATTCTGGGGTAGACCACCTTCTTCTAGCTTCTTCCTGTGGCCACCTAGCCTGCTATAACTAATACAGAAACTGTGTGGTGAATGGAAATACAAACTTGAAATAGATGATGTTGACTTGGCCAAAAAATAGTTGGAGGAGAAGTAAATGAAGCAGGCTGGACAGATGGAGGCCCAGCTTAGGCAGTAACAAAACTTTTGGTAAAATTGTTGCTTGTGATAACTTAGAAGGCAGACCACAGCCCTCTGAGCCTATGGAAAACAACATTTTGGAAAGCGTGTTATGGTATGTTACCTCCTGTTACAGTTCTAATGCCATCCAGCAAGATCCCATCGTTGGTATGGACCAGCATGGCTGTGTGCTTCCGAGGTTTTCCTGTTCATATTTTTGCTGTTCACAAAAAGATTAGAAGAGAGAGGTGAACTGAGGAAAGAATTGGCGGATTTGCAATTAGCAGTTAAAGGTCTTGCAGGCTTAGAGACACCACTCGCTTTTGGACTCCACAAAGAGCAGGAAATAAGACCAAAAGGCCCTCCTACAACAGAAGCTCAGTGAGGATGAAAGACTTGCAATGAAAATTATGTTAAGGGTGTTACTGTCCATGTAAGCCAAGTCTTTTCAGAAGGCCTAACAGGAGATTGAGAGAGGAGGCTGGCAGATAAAAAGAATCATGTCGAGGAAAGTGTCTATCTGTACGACAGCAGATAACTTGGAAATCATATTGCCAAAAACCTCAGGAGCCTGGTGAAGCCAAAGAACAGTCTTGGGCCTCTAAACTTGTAGCAGTAGGAAGCTACTGAAAATGTTACCGTTCTCCAGATTAGTCTCTGCTTCCTGCAGTTCAGAAGCAGCCATGGAGGGAGGTTTACAAGGTAGAACTTGGAGTGGAGAGACAAACCGACAAGAGAGCTCCTTCCAAGGGCAGAATCACTGTCAGAACACGGTATCTGCTTTTCTAATGTCCATCCAGCAAGATCCCATCGTTGGTATGGACCAGCATGGCTGTGTGCTTCCGAGGTTTTCCTGTTCTGACTCTGTAATGGTTGTCCTGCCTCTGCCCCACCATTGCATTTCATGACAGTGTGCTGAGTTGGGGGAGCTAATGCTTTGGCATTTAGTTTACAGAATAAGGAACCAAGACTGGATCTGTTGGAGAGAATTACACGTCACCCAGAGATCACGGATATTGAGTTGCAAGCAGTGAATGAGTGGGGCATTTGGATATCTCCATTAGAGAAAGGGTAAATTTGTTCTTTGTATGGCAAGAAAGGAGCAGTTGGATTTTTGTTGGTTGGAAAGGCTGAGTGTGGTAGAGAAACGCTAGCTGTTTCCCTACTTCAGCCAGCTCTTTCAGTCTTAGGACCTTTGCACCCTGACTTGGATGATTTTTTTCATTTCTCTTAATCTCTCTCTTCCTCTCTCTTTCTTAAAGACTTTATTTCTTTAACAGAGAGAGCAAGAGAGTACAAGCAGGGGGAGCAGCAGAGAGAGAGGGAGAAGCAGGCTCTCTCCTGAGCAGGGAGCCTGATATGGGGCTCCATCCCAGGATCCTGGAATCACGACCAGAGCTGAAGGCAGATGCTTAGCCAGCTGAGCCATTCAGGCATCCCTCCTAATATATCTCTTAATATTGTCGTATTAAGGCTGTCTCTGTGTTGTATTCAGACCCCAGCTAAAAAGCTGGCTCTTCCATGACGCTTTTCCTTACCACCAGAGCTAAGTGGCCCCCACCAAGGAACTTTCCAATCCATTATTCTAGTTTATTTTCTTAGTAGCAATTATTATTATCTAAAACTCTTTATTCTCTGCTTTCTTTGTTTATTACATATTTTCTTTAACCAGAAAGCGAGATCTTGTCTGAATTCAATGTCTCTTCACCGCTGAATTCCTAGAGTTTAGCACAGTGACCTGCATCAAGAAGGCACTCACTGGCTGAATGAATGGATGAGGCCAAATCGTGTAAGAAACAGATCCTTTCTCGACCACCTGTAAGGCAGTTTTCCCAATCAAATATCCACGATTATATAATTCTTTTCATTATATCTGATTCTGTGTTATCTGCATAAACCTTGACTTGAGCGATGTTTGCAATATTCCACGGAGTAACTGTCAGAAGTTTTTTAGTTGACCCAGGTTTGGGGACATCTAATAGACCTAGCATTGAGAGGCTATTTCTGCTTCTTTTCATTTAAAGTTCCCCAAATTGCCTATTCAGTAGTTGAGAGTTCAGCAAGTGATCTAGAGTCCATTGGGTAGCTTAAGAAAACAAAAATAAAATATCTTTGTCTAAAAACTTTTTGCCCATCCTTTTATTGTTAATTTATAAATCATTTTGTTTTCAATGCATCTTTTATAAGAATAAACAAACATACTGTTGAAGTGTGTTGGTCGAGCCACTCTGATATTTTTGTTTATTTATTTTTAATGGGGTATTTAATCTATTTACATTCATTTTTTAAAAGAGATGCCTGTCATGTCACTTCACTCTTTTGTTTCTTTCCCCTGTTTTATGTGCTTTGCTAAATTTCCTTTTCTAAAACTCCATGTGTTTATTCTATTAGCTATTACCTTTTACCAAAAGATATACCATAATATTTTAATGATCAAGAGCATTTGCTCTTTATTCTTTTGGGTATACACCCAGCAGTGGGATTACCGAAACATATGGCAGTTTTCCTCATTTCACATTCCTACCAGAAATGTATAAAGATTATAGTTTCTCCACAATTTGCCAACACTTGTTATTTCCATGTCTTTTTTTTTTTTAAATTCTAGCTATCTAGTGGATGTGAAGTAGTACATCATTGTGGTTTTAATTTGCATTTCTTTAATAACTAATGATGTTGAGAATCTTTTCATGTGCTCCTTGGCCTTTTGTATATCTTTTTTTAAAGACACATGTGTTCAAGCTCTTTGCCTGTTTTTAAAATTGGGTTGTGTTTGGTTGTTGAATCATAGTTCTTTATATATTCTAGACACAAGACGCTTGTACGTGGATTTGCAAATATTTTCTCCATTCTGTAAATTCTCTTTTAAATTTTTTGATGCTATCATTTGTAGCACAAATTTTTAAATTTTAATTAAGTTCAGCTTATCCATTTTTTTCTTCTGTTGCTTGTGCTTTTGGTATCACATCTGAGATTCCATTTCTGAATCCAAGATCATGAAGATTTATCCCTATGTATTCTAAGAGTTTGAAAACAGATGCTCAAACAAATCCCATATACACGCATCTTCATAGCAACACTACTCACAATAGCCAAAATATGGAAACAGCCCAAATGTCCAGCAATGCACAAATGGATGAACAAAATGAGGTATATACATTTGGTGGACTATTAGTCATAGAAAAGAATGATGTCCTGATCCATGTTACAACCTGGATAAAATCATTATGTGCAAGAAGCCAAACACAAAAGGATGGTATGATTCCACTTAAGTGAAATGCCCAGAATAGGTTAAATCCATTCAAAGAATGCAGGTTGGTGGTTTCCAGGGCCTGAGTGTAAAGGTGATGGGGAGCAGCTACTTAATGGCTATGGGGTTTCCTTTTGGGGCATGCAAATGTTTTAGAACTGGGTGGTGAAGTTACTAAATGTCACTGTCTTGTTCACCTTAAAATGGTGAATTTTATATTCTGTGGATTTCACCTTAAAAAATTGTAAAGATCAAAATACTATCTCTTTATTCCCTCTCTGAAAGATAATAAATTTGATATGCTTTCCCCCCCCCCCGAACTTCCTATTCCTAATTTTTACTGGTTTTATTCAGGATTTTGAATACAGATTATTAATTTTTTAACATTATCTATTCCAAGACTCAGTGTTTATATTTGCATTGTGCTTCATACTACATCAACTATAATTATCTAATTTGTATATTTTTAAGTTTCATTTTTCATTAGTATTTGAAGGAAATACTACTTCTTATTCATACTTGAATATGTTGCAGTATTTCTTTGAGCAATTTTTGAAGTGTATATCTATGAAATTCTATCTGGGAACTTGCATTCCTGAGGATGACTTTCAGTTGCTCTCATTTATATATGATTGTTTGGTTAGGCACAAAACTAGGACATGCAGGAAAATGGGAGTGGGTATACTTTTCCCTACTACTCTGGCCCAAGAGAACAAAACAACTCAGTAAACATAACATATTTTTTATTTTTTGAAAAGACTTTATTTACTTCAGTCAGGGAGAGAATGAGAGAGAGAGAGAGAGAATGAGCGTTGAGGGAAGGAAGGTCAGAGGGAGAAGTAGACTCCTCACTGAGCCAGGAGCCTGCTGTGGGGCTCGATCCGAGGACCTTGAGATTATGACCTGAGCCAAAGGCAGATGCTTCACTGACTGAGCCACCCAGGGGCCCCAACATAATATATTTTTTAACGATTTTATTTATTTATTTGAGAGAGAGAGAGAGCTGGAGGGAGAGAGAGAGAGAAAATCTGAAGCAGACTCTATGCACAGCATGGAGCCCGACACATGGCTCCATCTCACAACCACAAGATCATGACTGAGCCGAAACCAAGAGTCAGCCGTACAAATGACTGAACCATCCAGGTGCCCCAAGGACATAATATTTTAATGCACTATTTAAAAAACTCAACATGAATGCAAAAATCTATGCTGTACAAAATATCAAAATTTTAAATAAAGACAAGATCTATGGTGGCCAAGATTAGGGTGAGGTGAGTCACACAAGTGGAATATTGGACCCCTCCATTTTCCTGCATCACTTTTGTGACATTTGTGAATGTAGATGAGCATTTATTGTATTATTATATATTATATTATTATATATCATATTATATTATTATAATATATAATAATAATAATTATTATTATTATTTTGCACTAAAAATGTTTCTCTTGATTACTAAGTTTTCTGGCTTTCCCTTAAATTTTGCCTGTAAGAGTCTTAATCACCTCACCTATTCCTGGGTTTACTTAGAATATAATTTTTTATCTTCAAAACTCCCCAAATTTTGCTCTGGTAGAACAGTTCTAAAATCTGGCTTCACATTAGAGTCTAATATTATTAGATAAAATCTAATAGCCAGGCCCTTAAATTTCTATTCTCTGTGACATTCTTCAGCTGTTTCTTGCACACATGTTTTTCTCTATTTTTGCATTCCTCTGGCAGTGCTAAGAGTAGTTGAAGAGAGGGGTAGGTAAGTGTATACATTCCACACATTTCACTTAGATCCCAAAATTATTTTCTTACATTTCCTCCACCTAGATATGGATTATTTAGTTATAATATGCAAGGTAAAAATGTAATATTTTATAGTGACACTCTGGAGGCACCTGTGACCTCTCACATAAAGTCCCCTGACAGCCACGGTGTGGGCAGAGGATGGGGCTCTACTTAGTTATATCATGTATAATTAATTACTTATTCCATTTGGCAGATCCCTAGGATTTCTTGGTGGAGGAAAAGTAAGAAAACAAAGGAGATGAGGCATGGGGATGTTATGTAACTTATTCAAAGTGACACAGCCAAGTCTGCTGGGGCTTGGGGTTCAGACGGTGCTGCCTCATTCTAGGACCCACGCGCCTAACGAATTGATTCCAGACCTAGGGAGCAAGTATAATAAGCTCTTTTTTGAAAGTGTGGGAATTGAGGCCCAGAAACAATAAGATAAGTTGTGAAATGGGTACTTGAACTTTTGTCTGACTTCAGCAATGCTACATGAAGCAAATTCTAGCTGCCCAAAATTAACTAGACATAGCTTCAGAGATTATATTATTTCAAAGCATAGTCTGTCATTTTACAGATAATCTGCAATCACTAAAATCACTTACCTGAACCAATCAGGAGCTGGTTCTGTGCAGCAAGCCAACTTTACATATCAAAGGGAAGCTATTGTTTGAAACACCATTTCTATTAAAAACAAAACAAAACAAAAACAAAAACAAAAACAAAAAAACAAACCTAAACCACCATGAGATCTAATCCTTAATGGCAGCACAGCTCTTCATAGTAAATTCAAGTGTCTCATTGTTTCTCTGCAATAAGAAGACAACTCAGGAAAGGATTCTCCAGACACTGAGACCATTGTAGGGGGCTATGGGACCCAGAGGTTTTCATGAAAGTGAAAATGCCCTTTAAGATCAAAGCAAATTGTCTTCCAAGCGGCGTCCAGTGGGCCATCCTCTGAAAAGTGACCCACTGTTCAGCACAGCTCTTTCCAAGTCACTGAATTGGAGCCAGCTGGTGCCTGAACATACCTTGTATGTCACCTTCTGATCTCTGTTTGAAGGCCAACTGTATGTGATTAAGGGTAAGAGACACAGAGCTTGTGTTAAGCTCAGGATGTAACTTGTTGAATGAATAGCAATTGACTTGAAAATTGAACGAATGGATTGAGTTTCTTCTCTCTCTCTTTCCCTCCTCTCTTTCTCTCTCTTTTTTTAATAGAGAAAGATTAAATCCCTTGGACCCAGTCAGATCAGTGCTTGCTGTTTTTGAGAAAGAGATTCTTGAGAGAGGGCTGTGAATTGCAATTTGAGTAGGAAGAAATTTTATCCAAACATGTGCATCATCTAATGGCAAAAAATGGCTCCAAGTGAAGGTATGTTTTGGCCTTTTAGCATTTCCCTTATGGTGGCCAAATTAGTCCCCACCTTGCCCTTTCCAAGCTCTTGCTGTTTCTTAAAACCTATCCACACATTTGAATCGCCTTGAAAATTGAAAGAAAGAAGGAAAGCAAGCAAGCAAGTAGAAAGAAAGAAAGAAAGAAAGAAAGAAAGAAAGAAAGAAAGAAAAAAGAAAAGAAAGAAAGAAAGATAAAGAAAGAAAATAATGCCATTGGTTCTGCCAAACACATTCTAATTTAATTGATATGAGGTGTGGTGTGAGAATAGGGATTTTTAAAGGTCCTCAAAGCAATTCTAACACACAGCAAAGTTTGAGAACCACTGGGAACTACTTTAAGCTCCTTCCCTCTAAAGAGGCACCAGCTGGAGGCATGCTTTACACCAATATGTTTGCTGAATATAAACACTGCAGTGCAAACTCTTGCACCAAAGAATCCTGAACCGCTTTGGACAATCTTCGGAAAAGTTAGAATTTGTAAACTGATAATACATATAATTCCACAGGTCCATATGGTTCCTGTTATCTTGAGGGAACTATACACATTTGCCTTGCCCCTGGATGAAAAGATAAATAACAGATGTGGGTAATTTTTATCATACTTGTACTGAAAAATAATAGAAAAATAAGAAAGGAAGGGGGCAGAGAGAGAAGAAAAACACATGAAAATGAACCTCAACTTAATCATTCTAGGCTATATTGTATTTTTAAGGTCCATTTATAAAGTAGACTAGAAGGAACTGTGTCACATAACTGTCCATTTCTAAGAGAGGCAATCTCTACAGTGACAAGAATGAATATTAAAAATTTGGGTGTTAATAGAGTACACTTAATCAAGTTTTTTTCTTTAATCAAGTTTTATGTATAAAATTTATATATAGCTTATTGTGTGCCAAGCACCGTTCTAAGCATTTTACATTTTATATTTACATTTACATTAAGCATTACATTGTCCAAGTATTTTATGTAAAAGCAAATATGTATTAATTTATTTAATTCCCATTACAACCTTGAGATAAATACTATTTTCATTCCTATTTTATAGATGAAGAAACTAAGACCCAGAGAATTTAAATAATTTCTCCAAGGGGCTGTGGTTATTATGTGGTGGAGCCATGAAGTGAACCCAAATAGTCCAGCTTTAGATATCATTCAAAGGTGTCCTAAGGTGCTGGTGATGACCTGGTCTTCATAGAGGGAAGATCCTTCCCATCTACAGAGGTGAAGCGAGTGTGAAGTTGAATGAATGAATTCCATGGGAGAATGGCACCAAGGTTTAGGATGACTGGGAAATAATATGTAATAATAATACCAAGCATTGAAGTGTCCTATGTGCCTAACACTGGGTGAAGTTTGGGTTTGATTCTCATCTTCTGTACCTTTTTTTTTTTTTTAAGACTTATTTATTTTAGCAGGGGGCAGAAAAAGGCAGAGAAGCAGATTCTCCTCTAAGTGCAGAGCCTGACGCAGAGCTGGATCCAGGACCCAGAGATCATGACCTGAGCTGAAACCAAGAGTTGGACACTCAACCGACCCAAGCACCTCTGATTCCCATCTTCTGTAGTTCTTAGCAGTGGTGTCTTTCACCCCTGAAGGTCTGCCTTAGAAACCAACATGGTGGCCTTTGGCTAGTGTCTCTTAGAAAAGCTTTTTAAAAAACATAAATCTAGCTTATTTTTAAAAGAATTTTTACTATGTAATATGGCATGTAGAGTGAACATATAAAAAAGGATTATGCATATATGTTTATTTTTAAATAATAATTATTGAACACCCATAAATTCATTGCTAATACTTTGGATCAGGACTAGAGGTCAAGTAAGCCTACTGCATGCTTCTGTAAATAAAGTTTTATTGGAACACAGCCAGAGCCATTTGTTTACATATTGTCATGCTGTCTTCTTGCTACAACAGTAGATTTGAGTAATTGCAACAGAGAGCAAGCATATGGCTCATAATGCCAAAATTTTTTACTCTCTGGCCCTTTATAGGTAATGTTTACCAATTCCTGAGTAGGATATCTCTTCCTGATTATACTTCCTTTTCCACCTTCAAGAGGCAACCACTCCCAAATTCTGTCTTTATAATAAGAAAACTGTTTAGTTTTGTCTTTTTTGGATACAATATAAATAAAACCATGGGGATGAATTATTTAGCAATGTATTCCCTTCTCTTAATCTTGTGTTTGTCAGATTCATCCATATTGATGTGCGTGGCTGAAGTTCATTAACTTTTATTGTTGTATGATTGTCTATTTATTGTATGAATATATCTCAATTTATCCAATCTGTTGTTGATGGGCATTTGTGTTGTTCTAGTTTTGCTATTTTGAGTAAAGCTATTGTGAACCTTCTTGGTATGACTCTGGGTACACACACACAAGAAATTCTCTGGTGTAGATACTTACTGGAATGGCGAGTCATAGGTGTGTGTATATTCCTTCTATGTATATACATATATATATGACCATGGGCCATGTGAATATCCATATGCACGCACCCTATATGAAAATTCTGTTTAAACTATTTTCAGAGTGGTTAATGCAAATTATACTCCCACCTGCACTATACTAGAGTTCTGGTTGTTTCATGTATTCAACACCTAGCATTGTCTGAATTTTTAAATTTTTGCCAGTATGGGATGTGAGAAATGATATTTCATTAGACTTTAATGTTTATTTCCCTTAGTAATGAGATAAGACACTTTCTATTTATTTATGGGCTATTCATATTTCCTCTTCTATGAAAGATCTGTTTATGTCTTTTCCCATTTTTCTAATTTTGCCTGTTATTGATTCATGTATATTTATTTAAGTTATATATTCCGGATATTACATCTATGTCAGCAGTTTGTGAAAAGTATGTCTTCTCTCAGTTCCTGACTTCTTTTTATCATTTTGTTATGGTTACTGTTTGATTGACAGACATTTAAAAATATAATCTATTTAATAATGTATCAATTTTTCTGGATGGCTTGTGAAACTTGCATTTTGTTAGAGAAATAATTTGTTTTCCTTATCATCTTCTAAAGTTACCAGGGTTTTGCCTTTCAAAACTGGCTTTAACCACTCAGGAAAACTCTGTGGAGTTCCTCAAACAGCTAAAATTAGATCTGCCCTACGACCCAGCAATTGCATTGCTGGGGATTTACCCACAAAGATACAGATGCAGTGAAACACCGGGACACCTGCACCCCGATGTTTCTAGCAGCAATGTCCACAATAGCCAAACTGTGGAAGGAGCGTCGGTGTCCACCGAAAGATGAATGGATCAAGAAGATGTGGTCTATATATACATGGAATATTAGCCATTAGAAATGACAAATACCCACCATTTGCTTCAACGTGGATAGAACTGAGGGTATTATGCTGAGTGAAGTAAGTCAATTGGAGAAGGACATTGTATGGTTTCACTATGTGGGGGACATAAAAAATAGTAAAAGGGAATAAAGGGGAAAGGAGAGAAAATGAGTGGGAAATATCAGAGAGAGAGACAAAACATGAGAGACTCCTAACTCTGGGAAATGAACAAGGGGTAGTAGAAGGGGAGGTGGGTGGGGCGTTGGGGTGACTGGGTGACGGGCACTGAGGAGGGCACTTGGCGGGATGAACACTGGGTGCTCTGCTATAGGTTGGCAAATCAAACTCCAATAAAAAATATACAAAAAAACTGGTTTTAAAATACCTGGCACTGAGTTTTGTGTATGTTTTGAGGAAGAGTCCAATTTAATTTTTTCTATGTTAACTGAATGAATTGTGTATAACATTATTTATTGAAAAGTCCATTTTTTCTCTCACTGAACTGTAATGTAACTGTAATTTTTTTTTCTCTAGTCATACCCCACAGTCTAAATTCTATAATTTCTGGTTAGGCAAATATTCACCTCCCTCTTAGTTTTTATTATTTTTTATATTTGTTTTATTCAGGAGTGTTTTGGATATTTTTGTTCACTTGTGCTTTGATGTGTATTTTGCAATTAATTTGTCATGTACCAAGAAAAAAAAAAGACTAAAATTTTGTTAAGCTATAAATCAGTTTGGGTGATTTGCCGTCTTTTCTTGTATTAGATCTTCCAATCTGTGAACATAATATATTTTTTGCATTATTTTCATTCATTTTGCCTACTTTCAAAAAAGTTTCATCATTGTCTTCATAGATATCTTACTGTTTCTATTTGTAGATTCTATTGGATTTTTTATGCCATTATGTTACATATAAATAATGAAAGTTTTATTTCTTACTTCACAATTTTTAAAGATTTTTACTTCTTTTTCCTGCCTTGCTTTATTTACTCTTTAAGATTCCAATATTTGCAGTAATCTGGTCTTTTTTTTTTATCTTGCTTGAATCTTTCATAATTGGATATATTTGTTCAAATTGTTTTGAAAGTATCTTTTAGGAGCTTAAGATATCTGCTATTGTAGTTTGAGATATTCTCATAAAAAGATACTAACCATTATCAATTCGATTCTGTCACAGCTCTATCAAGATGATTGTGTGATTTATTTTCTTTTAATTACTTAAAAGGATTTATCCTTTAGTTGATATTTTCAAATACGTTTTATGGAGGCATGATTTATATACAATAGAGCTTACCACTTTAAAGGATACAGTACAGGAGCACCTGGGTTGCTTAGTCGGTAAAGTGTCCAGCTCTTGGTTTCTGCTCTGGTCATGATCTCAGGCTTGTAGATGGAGGCCTGAGTCGGCTTCTGCACTGGGTGTGGAAACTGCCTAGGATTCTCCTATCTCTCTCCCTCTCCTTCTGTCCCTCCCCATCTTCCCTTCCCTCTCTAAAAAAAGGAACAAATAAAAAGAAAGTATACAGTTCAGTAAGTTTTGGTAAATGTGTGCAAACAACATGACAAATAAGCTTTATAATTTTTCCAATACCTCAAACTTCCTTTGCAGTCAGTACCCACCCTTATTAAGTTCCAGTAGAACTACTGACCTGCTTTGTTACTATAGTTTTCTCTTTACTTTGATTAGTGTTTGAGTGTTAAGCCAACCTTGCATTACTAGGTTAACTTTGTAATGATATCTTTTTAAAATAGATTTATTATAAATGGCTTGTACTAGGCTTGCTTGTGCTGTCCTTGCCTGGTCAGTGTTATGATTATATAGCACCCATAAAGTGAATTGGGAACAGTTTCTTCTTTCTATGGGGATAATTTATATAGTATCAGAATTATTTGTTCCTTAAAGACTTTGCTAATTTTACTATAAAACTATTTAATCCCAGAGATTTTTGAAGGAAGATTTTAAAAATACTGATTTGTGGGACACCTGGGTGGCTTAGTCAGTTACGTGTCTGCCTTTGGCCCAGCTCAGGTCAGGATCTCAGCATCCTAGGATCCTGCCCCGAATGGGGGTCCCTGCTGAGCGGTGAGTCTGCATCTCCCTCTCCCTCTGGTCCTCTGCCCCCTCTCCCCACTTGTGCTCTCTCTTTATCAAATAATTAAATCTTTAAAAATTTTTTGATTCAGTTCTTTAAATAGTTTAGTTTATTTTTCCAGAAATTTTTTCCTTTCATTTAAAATTTCAATTTTGCTAGGTTAAAATTGATTCTGATAACTCATTACTTTTTTAAGACTTGTTTTTTTCTTTTAGAGCAGTTCACAGCAAAAGGGAGAAGAGGGTACATAAATTTTCCATTTATCCCCTGCTCCAGCACATGCATAGGCTCCCACATTCTTAACATCCTGATCGAGAGTGGTACATTGATGAACCTATATTGACACATCAGTATCACCCCAAGTCCATGGTTTACATTAGGATTCATTCTTGGTGTTGTACATTCTGTGGATTGGATTAAATGCATGATGACATGAATCAACCATTAAAGTATCATACAGAATAATTTTACTGCCCTAAAAATCTTTGTTGTGCCTGTTCCTCTCTTCCTCGCCTTTGTCCCTGGTAACCACTGACCTTTTTACTGTCTTCATAGTTTTACCTTTTTCCAGAATGCCATATAGTTGGAATTATAAAGTATGTAGCCTTTTCATATTGGCTTCTTTCATTTAGTAATAATTTGCCTATAAGATTCTTCTATGTTTTTTCATGACTTGATTGCATATCTCTGTTTAGCAATCAATAATACTCCATTGTCTAGATGTTTCACAGTTTATTTTTCCATTCACTTACTATACAACATCTTAGCTCCTTCAAAGTTCTGGAAATCATGAATAA